GTTCAAATCATGATGAATAAACCTCAGCTGTCCAAATACTTTAAAAATAATATTTCTAAACATCCACTGAGTTCCTCTCACCTGTGATTGTGACTGTGATCAAGGTGTTATTTTCAAAGTCCAGAACTCTGTATGTTCCTGTGTCACTGTCCATAAATGCTTTAATGGTCAGGTTCCCATCACGGTCAGACAGATGATCATCCTGGACCCCACTAGTTCGGTTCCAGATCTCCTTCCACCCTTCACTGGAGTTTTTCTCCACTTTATCAGCATTGGACAACAGAACATCTAACTTCAGTGGTTTGCCTTTCTTCACAATAATCTCATCTGAGGAGAAACAGAAATACATTAATCGTTATTATAATGGTGTCAATAAATCAAGGCCATAAGCACATACAAGTATTGAACGACCAAATGTAAGTATGCAAATAAGCACATGCTGATGGTTCAATCAGTTTTGACTTTACCATGAATATGAAGATGGTACTCCCTGATTTGTGTCTTCTGAGTATTATAGTAGACTTTCAAAATGTATTTCCCAGCATCACTGAAGACGAGATCCTTGATGATGACATCGCAGTCTCTTTTTTTAAATATTCGTCCGCTACAGTTTTTCTCCTGACAAACAGAGATGGGGTTTGACCGACTGAATAAATCAATACCAAGGATCTCACTGTCCCCAAATTCACATGTTAGGGTGACGTTGCCTCCCTTTTCTCCTGACAGATGTTCAGATGTTCCTACAGAGCCGGTTCCTGCAAATACAGACAGTATATATTCTTTCAGTACAAAGTATCAGTACTGAACATTTTTTCTGTTTATTCTCTCCAATCAAGATCATCATAAAAGACTCTAATAGAATCATTTTAGTCAGCTTGTGTTTTGCTCAAAACGTGTTATCACACATCCAGGTGGATTGAACAGCTGTAAACTGATGGTGGAGTTTAGCATCAGAAATGTCGAGTTTAAGGTTGTTGGTTTAAGGCTTAATTTGTTCTGCCATTTTGCTCTTCAAAATAGGCACACATATTTTCAAACTGACTTATACATAACAGCAACCAGATTTTGTTTTGTTTAAAGTTGGATTAAAAAATGAGGGCAATAACAGCACATTGTATTTGCAGCAGTACCACATTTAACATTTCAAATGTTGATGAGACGTGTCCATGCGTTTGTAGTGATTTCCTGTACAATGTTTATTAGTAAATGAATTGCATTGAAGTGCATATACAAGTCTGGATTTGTAATAATGTAATATACTGAGAAATGTCCGTCCATCAGTCCACAAATCAGTCCACATACAGTACATCAACTCAAGTCACTTGGCCAAGTGATGCAACAGAGAAACAATCAACTACAATAAATCTACCAGGAGGTTTTAAAAAATAAAAAATGGTTACATAAAATATACTGACCGCTATGATAGATGAGGCAAAACAGCAGAATCAGAAGATTGAAGCATCTGAACCTGATGAAAATACAGAACAGCTGTTATGTTTCATAGTGATGGCCGCTTTTGAAACACTGCTTCATGAAGCTTCGAAACTTTTGTGAATCAGTTGTTTCAAAACAGTGGTTCGGAGAGCGTATCAAACTGCCAAAGTCTCGTGATTTCAGTAAACGAGGCTTCGTTACATCATAACTGTTTCGAAACGTTTCGAAATTTCAATAGTTTGCCTTTGGGGGCGATCTCTGTGACTTCTTGATTCATGCGAGTTCATTGAGCTCGCCTCCCAGCGGTGAACTATTGATCTCGGATCTCGGATCAGTTTCATCAATTTGTAGACATTTTTAACGAGACATTTGTGTAATTAAAAGGATGAGTTGTAGTCTCTTACTGGCCTGTTTAAGCTCTCCATAAAACAAACAAAATAAGCCCTGCAACTTAATAATAATTATTTTAAAAACATAATACACAGACGCTTCCATATTTAATGGTATTTCATTATTTTGATTGCATTTAATATTATATTATACTTTCAAAAAAAGCATTTGCATTGGGTTTGCAAAAAGCAGTTTTTATGCATGTTTTAGCCTGAGTTTTTGTTGTATTTACACAGTTTTGACCAGCAGGCATCACCGGCGTGTGATGTTTCGAGCGCTTCGAAACAGTGGATCATTTTGCGAAGCAATTGGTTCAAGGGATTGGAAGCTTTGAAAAGGTTAGTTTCTCCCAGCACTAATGTGACGTAAAGGCACACATCACACAGACATTTATACAGTGATAAAATGTTTCCTGAGGGGAAAAATACTGGTCACAAAACAAGAATCTGAACCTTCGGTTCACTTTTATTTAAAGGTGCAGTGTGTACATTTTAGCAGCCTCTAGCAGTCAGGTTGAAAATTGCAACAAATGGCTCAGTGCCCCGCTCACCCCTCCCTTTAGAGAAGCTACGGTGGCCGACACAGGTAAAGATATCGTAGTCTGAGACAGCAGAGATTCTTTAAAAAAGTAAATTAAGGACTTATATTTACTTAATTATTCAATAAATCGACATGTTATTGCGAATATTATTGTTACTTGTTCATCATTGTCAGTGTTTTATTCGCAAGAACAACATAGTGACGAAACGCACTCTGTCCTTTAAGGGCTACTGTACAAACATGATGGCGGTGTATGTAGATATGATTTGCTCATTCTAAATCAATAACAACATAATGGTTCATTAAACACCTCTGAAAACATAGTTATGTATATTATATTGCATGTTTGTCAATAGATCCTCCTAAATATTACACACTGCACCTTTAAAGACTCAACAAGTGGATCTTACACAATAAAATGTCCAATAAGAATCATCAAACTATTATCTGAACCTTTGGTTGATTTCAGACTCAAAATGATCTGTCAAACTCAAACGCTCAATGAACACAAACAGAAAGTTTATTAAACTCTCTAACCTACTACTAACCAATCCTCTCAGCAGAGTAATCAGTGTAGACCAATTTAATAATTATAGTAATAACCCTACTAATAAAAAACATGATCTTAATCATCGTCGTCATAATCACACGACTGGACACATTTAATCAGTATCACTATCAGATTTAGTTTTCCTCGAAAAATTGGTATAATCACACAAAAACTCACAAGTTGACTTTATATTTAAAACACAAACTTACATGATAAAGTACTGTAAGGTTTACAGAACCTCAGACATTTTGATCCTTTTCAGACGGACAATAAACGCACTAACATACAGACATCTGTTTCCATGTCTCACAGAGAAAAAATGCAGAAAAACCCTGCTTTCACACATGCGTCAGTTCCTGTTCATCCCCTTCCTTGCCCATCCTCCCTCCACTCAGTTCGCTCAGAATGGTTTATAGTATAATGTTCTACATGAATGCAAGTGATATTTACAGTCATG